CCATCAAAACATGACCGGGACACCATCCGCCCACCAGCTCTGACGGTGACCGGACGGCGCCCGTCCGCCTATTAGTTTTGCAAGACCCCATAGCATGGCTATTGGGGAATAAAGAATCGCTCCTGATCGAATCACATCCGCCACGTCGAACTGAAGATAACGTAAATATGATCAGTACGCCGATGAAAAAGCATCCGCAGACCTGAGGCATACCAGGAAGGCGTGGGGTCACTCCAGCACTTGGTAGAAGAACAATACAAAAAAATAGGGTCATTGTAGGGTGGCTGGACAAACCATGAACCATTCAGCAGCAATATATAGACTTCAAATTGCGTGGTCTTCAAGCGTTGCAAAAAAACAACACAAAATGCAAAAAGTTCAGCCTGGTCAGGTCAATCCTTCGATAGCTCCAACTTCACAAACACCTCAAGGGAAACAGGACTCAAAGTTAAGGTCCACGTCAAAATCCGTCTCAGTCATGGGAATTCTGGCCGTACAGTCAAGGCAGCCGACGTTCTCAAAAAAGAGAATCCTCCTTCACATGACAGGTCTCGACCTCTCCCAGGTTTGCCTTTTCAGAGTGACAAGCCACCGCGTAAAGCCAATCGTTGCTACGTGCCTCGCCAGCGTTCCCTCCCAAGAAATCTAAGGTTGTTCCCACTCCATGCCCAAATGTTATGCCTTGTCCTGATCTCTGATTCCTCTTAGTTTGCACGGGTCTCTATCTTGCGTTTCGAGGTCTCGGTTTGAATTGGTTTCTTTGGAATAGTGTTTTGCTGATTATTGTTTCACAAACTATATGTGAACATCCCTCCCCTAAAAGCTCATGAAAGTTCAATTTGTTGCCTCCTTTCACATTTGTTCAAAGGTATTCCGGTCTTATTGTTTGTCGGGCGCTGAACATAGCATCAGGAATCAAACAAACCAAAAAACTGACAAATGGACAGACAGACAGACAGACAGCCAGCCAGCCAGCCAGCCAGCCAGCCAGGCACAGACAGGCAGGCAGGCTGACTGACTGACTGACGGACACAGACACAGACACAGACACAGACACAGACACAGACACAGACACAGACAGAGACAGAGACAGAGACAGACAAACAAACAAACACGCACACAAACAATCGGGAAAAGAAGCGTTCGTACAATGTTCCATGCCACACGCCCAACTAGGTGTGAAAGTGTAAGGAAACAGGGTGAAGTATGTAAAGCGGTCAAACCATGAATGAAGTTGGCAGTCTCATTGTAAAAATCCAAAATCGGAAGGTTCAAAGATCGAAGTCTCAAATGCAAGACTGCCAACGCAGAACCGATGTTAGGGTTGGCGAGATTGTTCTAGTGACACCGGGAAGCCAGTTAAGAAAATCACAGGGAAAAACAGAAAAACAACAGGTACAGTAAGGTGATCAGTAGGTCATGGATGCTGTGTGCCCCTGCAACAATCCTATAAATGTGACCTGTGATTCCGAGGTTTACATGTCAATGGAAACCCTACAACGCGCGCGGCTTCGGTTGATGATCGGTTTTTGCGACGAGCACAAAATTTGGCAAGAGCCGCTGCCCAGCGGGGCCGGAACAGAGCCGGAAACCGAGCCAGCCAAAAACACTGTTGTGGCTAGAGCCGGAAACCGAGCCAGACAATCATGTTCCTAGATGGAAAACAACATGGCTAACAGGCTGTGAGAGCAAACGGCAGAAACACATTCAACAAGCAGCCTTTACCTGATGGTCCAAGCTACAATCCAAGCTGAAACGTTTTTCGTCGTTGGTCTGTTTGGAATCGTGATCCTAGTCTTTCAGTTGCAGGCGGCCAACCTACCAAGGATTAGACTGGCTAGAACATCAAAAACTCTCAGTGAAAGAACTGGTAGCTAGGCGGCCCAATAAAAAAAGTTTGAAGCAAAAGCTCCCCTTCAAACAGATGAACCCAAGAGCCACAGTCAAAGCAGTCTTCTTCCGATCGTCTATCTTGATGCCTTGGTCAAAGGCAAGGTTGAAGTGCCACATGTTGCACCCAGCAAGCCCAGCACTCAGGGTCGTAGCGAACCACGCGTCGCCAGCCGTTCTGTAAGAAGCGAAAAAGGAGTTCAGTGGCCTGCTTTGGTCAACGCATCTGCCACGTCGTTTTCTGAAGGCACCCAAAGGAGCGGAACGCCTTGGCGTTGAAGACTTTCTATGATGGCCAACCAGGCCGGGGCCGCATACTACTTCTCTTTGAGATTTGAGAAAGGAGAGAAACCTGAAGATGCTCCGTTGCCCTTGCGCGTCACATACCGATTTTGCTGCTTGAACTTTGCTGGTGAACTTTGCTGGTCCAATCAGTTCCCAGCAATTCATTCCCCTCGGCTCCCGTGAACATCAATCCCTGCTCACCACAATCCAATGCCTGGACGCGGGCGCTCAAGCTGTAAGGATTGGTGCGTCATTGCCACTAAGTGGCCGACCGTGGAGCTGTGGTCAGGTCTGTTGCCCACTGCTGCGTCGGTGAAGCAGACAAAAGCGCACTGGCAGATTCCAACCGATAAAAATCGCTAGGCGTGAACTTCTCAGCAAAGCCGGTTGGTCTGAACCAAGCAGTTTCTACTTCCCCGGCGTCGAGCACTTTGCAAAGACGACAACTTGGCCATATGCTTTACTGAGTGCTCAGTCTGGAGTTTGGGCGAGGCCCGGGGGCCGTCTAGATGGAGCCCTCCAGAGAGGGTGATTTTTTGCCACTGAGCAAGAAAGCATCCACATGAGATGCGTTGTCTGATCTCAACCTTTCCATCCTGCAGGACAACGTGATAGCGCTGTCAACATCAGCGTACCACTTGCGGGGAGCGCTGATCAAACATATAAAAAAATATACGCCCTTCAGCAGACTCGCAACTCTACGCGGTTGCATTTTCGGCGTCAGCTTCCAGAGTCGCCAACGCCGGCGGTATGAAAGTCCACACATGGGAGCTGCACGCTACGGCCAGATGTTCGAATCAGGATCGCTGTATAGGTATAGGCCAGCAACAAGACTACGCGGGCTTGGGCTGCATCTTTGATGCATCATCGTCCAATTGCTACTGTGCGCAAAACTACTTCTGCCCCTTTCTGGCCTGACTTCGCCCTGTCTGGAAGGGTGGGTCCTTGAGCATTTTCTTCCATGTGTCTTCTGAACTGGGCACGTCAATGATGATGAAGTCCTGCCCAGGATCTTGCAGCAGTCATCAAAGTCGACCATCTGGTTCACGCGCCTTCCGGGCTCTTCTATTGCCGCACCTCCGTCAGTGTCTGCGTCTCGTTGCCAAGGTCGATGATTTGCTCCTTCACATCGGCCGGTTCGGCGAAGACCTGCTGCAGCTCAGTCTGAGCTTCCAACGTTCGCAGCCTCCTCTGTTGTCTTCCGCCACTTGGTGGTTGGCACCGAGCGCAAGGAACAGGCTAAAAGCAAGTCCTTGGTCCACTGGAGACGACGCGCTCGGCGACTCTGGAATGTCTGCCGAAAAGAAGTTTTTTCTCCATCATTCACCACAACGGTTCAAACTCTGTGACACAGAAGCACACATCACACGCGCACACGCCGACAAGGACAAAGCTGAAGGTGACAAACATGCTGAACACGTGGACAAACATGGAACGCGCAAGAACAAGTGAAAGTTGCTCAACTCCGTGATTGGCTGCGCAACGAGCACTTTTTCTTCAGAACCGGGAACAGTGATTGCGCTCTGGTACATCTTGACCCCTCCATCAAGCCAGCTGGAACATAAGCACAACGAGAGGTGTCCAGTTCATGATTTTGTCAAAGGCGCCGAACAACTGCTTTCAGGACAATCCTTGTTGAGGATGCCTATAGCGAGACTTAGCGAGAATGCCCCGTTTGATCTTGCGCAGCCCTACGTGCCCTCTTCAAGAGTGCAAATGACTTTGAGTGTTGCGTCGAACCATGTCCGAAGCCGAAGCTATAAAGGGCTTCTTGGCGCTAGGGACTACTTCGGTCACTTCCATCACACCAACTTGCTCAGTCCTTCGCCGGTGGATGCGCTCCAGCGACTGCAATGCCCACACGCTTTCCGTCGCGCCTGAATCCAACACTGCAAAGAGGTCGGGAGATTGGACCTCAGCCGTCATCGAAGCCACTGTCGCTGGTATCTCATCCAAGTGCACTTCATTCTCTTCCTTCACGAGCGGGATGTCCATCACCATGAAGGCCTTGCCACCTTGACGCTTTCCAGTGTTAGGAAGATGTAGAAGCCTTTCCTCCACCAAACTTCCCTTTTCACTTGCCTTCCCCTGCGTCATGCGAGGAAAGAAACTGCGACTGCAGTTCTTGTGCGTCAGGAGCGCGCCACTTTCGGTGAACGACCTCTCATGCTTGTCTTGTTAGGCCACTGGGTTTGATCCGACCAAGCGTCCATGTCGGCCTGCCACCAGGTGAATTCTCCTTGACCCTCTTGACAACAGAAACCATCGCCAGCTTCTCTGAGGGCAAAGTCTCCGTGGAGCGGTTGTAGTTGCAGCGGGCAAGTCTTTGTCCTTGCTGTCCTGCATAGCCAGCCGCTTCACCCAGGCTGTCCCACGTGCTTCACTCACCAAGCGCCAGCCGCTGAGGGAAGCAGGTGCAAAGATCTGAGGGAGATAGCTTGGGGCAAGTCCAAGTTCAAGCCCAGCACGCCGTTCTCAAAAGTGCCTTGGAACAATGTCTTAGCCTTGGAAAGAAAGTGGATGCCTTCCAAGGCTCCGCTACCAGTCTCAGTCAGAGAATGGTAGTCAAACAAATGAACCCAAGCGCCACAGTCAAAGCAGTCTTCTTCCGATCGTCTCGATCTTGATGCCTTGGTCAAAGGCAAGGTTGAAGTGCCACATGTTGCACCAGCGAGCCCAGCAGCCAAAGGGCGGTCACTTCCCTCGAACCAGCACAACCACGGATGCGGCGGACACGCCAGGGCCAGGGTTAGGCAAACCAAAAACATGCAAAGGCTTCATACATGACATCTGCTGATTCAGGACTCTCAAGTTCACCAGCCAAGGTGTTTATTCTTCTGCCCCAAGCAAGTTTTGAAAATCGCACAAAACAGTCAATAGCAGACGCAGTCAAAGGAGATTAAATCAGCTGAGGTCCTGGAAGATGAATAAACACCATGCTGCGATGATCACAGGCTACAAGAGTCCTGCCACCGGACAGGTCGCTTGGACAATCAACATCCTCTCTCAACAAACCCAGTCAACAACTCAGAAGGACCCTATACACTCTACTACGCTCTATGCACAAAAATCAGACTGATATGGGAATGGCTTTAACTACCGTCATACATCTGCAACAGCCTTCCTTCAACTACACGAGAACGCGCTTGTCCCGGAAGAAGACTTCGCACCAAGCTCTTCAGATCTGGCGAAGTGCAAAAAGCCCACTGTCAACTGCAAGAAACAAAACCTAAGGCATTGCTGGTCTCACCCCTTCTTCCACCAGCTCTGGTCTTGAAGGCCCCTGGAAATCTGTACACAGGTGCAAAAACAGATCCTTCCCAAAAAAAGGATCTGAGGCGTGATTCAGAATTCAGAACAAATGTCTGTTCATTTCACAGTCGTAGTGATATCCAAGGCTGTCGCTGTTAATCTCAAAGCGGTAGGCACCTTGCGGGTTCCTGTTGTGGGACAGAATCACTGCTTCATGAACAAGTTTGTTTTCGTTCAGCTCTGCCGAAATATCATCAACATCGATCATCTCAAATTTGTAGGCTGCAACGATGGGCAACGCATAGTGCGCGTCATGCCGGCCACTGTTCACAAGGGTGGGCGGCTCCCCCGGGGTTCCTTCAAGGATGTGGGTGACCTGTGCCTTCTTCTTTCCGGAGTTGAAGCGGCTGAGAGCCTGTCGGTAAGCCGCTTCCAGCAACCCAATCCCAGGATTGTTCTCCACTCTGACCAACTCCCCATTCTGCTTTCGCCTCAATGGTAACGATGTCTGGTACATTGCCACACCGTCCATCATCGGCATCTCACTGGACAAATCATTTAGAATGTGTTTGAGACCAAAGTCTCTGGTGAAACCAAACGTTGTGGTTGCCTCATCTGCTGTCAACAACGGCATCAGCACAAATGGGCCAGAGGGAGTGCAAGGAGCCAAAGCTTCGGGGCACATAGAGGACAAATAGCAAACACCTTACTGGTCAGGCTCATTGAGTACTGAACGAAGCAGCAGCCTTAGCCGGATTGTTGCAGGTGGTTGCCAGGCTCAATCAAATTGTCCTTGTCAAGCAGGGAACTCTCACATTCAAACTGGCAACAAAGCTTAACACACGCAACAAGCGCCTCCACCTGGTGGCTGCTCACTGCGTCCGCACGGAATGTCAAACCTTGCCCAAAAGCTTGAAGCCATCGAAGATCAAAGCCCAAACCATAACTGGGATCTTCCCATAGCAGATCGGTAGCTCTTTATAAAGTTGAGAACTGAGAACAGGGCAACTTGTGGATGGCATGTCAGACTGGCCTCTGCAAAACACAAGTCATCTTAATGATCTTACGGAGACAACCTGCACTCGTGGGAGCTCGCTTCAGCTGGGCAAGACTTACTCAATAGGCTCTCTCTTAGAGCGACTTCAGTCAAATGCCTCCGGTTTGACAGGGTCTTCATGCCGTCTTCCAACATGAGCCGAAAAACAAAACATTGGTCTTTGATGCATCCTTGTGCAAAGCAGATATCCTGGATTATTTCCAGGCCCCAAAGTGGGTCTCAGCCATAAAAGAAAACGAGTTGGCAAGCAACGAATCCAATTTGCCAGGCATGGGTTATTTCAAAAACTTGCTGGTGTTTCTTTCCAAATATTTTCTGATTATGAGTTATGAGCAAGCGTTTTCTTAGTGTATCGATCTTGCTGTAGCAACTCTCCAGCTCGATGTTGCAATTCACATCACACACCATGTTTGGAAAGAGCTCTTTGAGGTCGAAGCCAGGTATCAGCGGACATCTCAGCCACCTTCTACAGCTTCAGACCTGCATCTACCCGAGCTCTTGGCCCACTTGTGGCAAGCCAACTGGCTCTGTCCGCGTCTGTGGTTTCAAATTTCAAGCACTGGCTCAAACAAGTCAACAGTCAATGGTCCAAGGTGCTGGCTGGACTTGGTACTGGATGTAACGGAATGCCCATCGTGGATGATAAAGAAACTTGTTTGCTCTCCAGTCAAGTCATGTTGCAGGATCAGTCAGACCCTTAGTTGCAAAACGCAGAAATTCCTGAGCCTCTCGCCTCCCTTCGGCATAGACTTAGAGTCACCAAAGGCTGAGAACCACAAACAGCAAACCTGCTCAAATGAGATGCACTGACCCCTCACATTCACTCTGTCTTTAAGTTCACCATGTAAGTTCATGAAGTGAGTCTGGTTGTGTCCAAAAGTGCCAAACGTCTTTTGGGCCTTCTAAGGCCATTAGTCGCTACAGCTAACAAACACGAGAACAATAACAATGCCAAGGACAAGGGCACAAGCAAACCCTGTCGGCAGTTCTGGCAATCGCAACATCCATGTGGGAATTGAAGCAGTCCTGATTTGCTTTCTTGCCTCTTCATCTCATGAAGTTTTTGGTGTTCCTCTCACATCTCACATCTCCTTCACTACCCTTTTGTGCCGGCCAATCTCATGATTGTTCCTTGTCATCTGCCGGGACATGTCACGATGGTGTCTTGATGATGTGAGACACAGCACAACAAAGCACTGAGGCGATGTGGCACACCGAGATGTAGACATGGCGGCACCATCGACACACGCCAACGCACAGCTCAGAAAAGCACTCAAACACCGACTATCCACGACACAGCGAGACCCCACACGGAGACTGGATAAAGCTGAGACACAAATGGCCTAAAGAGTGAGCAAACGAAATGAATCCGTGTTGAGAACATGTTTGTTTTGGTTCGGAAAAAGAAATCAGTCTTACTGATGTACGTGAAATCCATGCAGTGCCACACACCAGGACAACGACGCTGACACTTTTGGGGAGTCAAGCCAATCCTAGGAAAGGTGCTCCAAGGCACACAAAAACCATCAAACAGCGAAGTTGCATCCGCTTTTTGTTGCTCATACTCATTGGCTGTATGGCTGTCGATAGTGTAGAAATCGCAAAACAGCACACGGCCCAAGTTGAAGCCCCTTGCAATAAAAAATATAGAGGCAACCCAGCTGTGCTGACTGCTGGATGTACATGCTTGCTGATACTGGTTCTTCAATCAAGTGACTATCCAGTCGACGAGCGGTGTGCACCAACATATATACACACAGAAACGTTGAGATTGGATGCTCGGCCGCGTGCTCATTCTGTCACTAAAAATATGTTCCTTGCTTGCCATGGGCTCCAGTGGATGTGGAATGCAATGTGCCACACCAGACCAGGTGCCACACTAGACGGTGCCGGTGCCTTCAAAGCTTCGTTTGTGTCCGTACAGCTTCGTGAGTTGATCATGGCGAATCCAGCTGCTATTACTGTAGTTGCAATAGAAAACTATTAGTTATTCTTGCTATTCTGGCTAGCTTATTCATCCAGCAACACTTATAATGTTCTTTTTTTCTCAAGTTGGATCGTCTCCAAATGCTTCGTCGTGGCGATGAAGGTCTCGAACCTAGGCAAAGTCTGAACCTGCGCATTGATGCACTCCATTGAGAGGACATGTAGCCCAATGACGGCCAGCATTCTGCAAACTCTAGGCCAAATCTGCCGGCTCAAGTTGGCCGAGAGTTGCCCGCGTTTTGCGGCAGTTTCTTCAATCCTGTTAGGCTCAGGTCCCATGCCCAGACCATGTTTACTGCAGTGATGTGAAGCCCACGCCGGCCATGAGTTGCCGTTGATCGTATTTCACGGGTCTCGATCTAGTGCCTCTTCAGCTCATATTTCACGCACACAATGGGCGACCAGGAACAAAGTGAGAAGGGATAACATGTTTATGTCCACTCTAGTTCTCCATTTTTCGATCTCGCTTTGACAAGCGCCCCTTTTTTGGTTAGCAGGCCGCAGGCCCTCAACAACCAAAAAAAGGCATGCCTAGGGGTAGCTTCCATATGTTTTCTAGCTTTCCATCTCTCAATCTGGCTATCTCTCTCACACTCTCTCCCCTTCTATCCATCTAACATTCGCGATCCGTCCAACTAGTAACTAGCCCTCGATTGACCTATCTATAACTTACACATCCATTTATCCACATCTACCTAATCTTCTTGTTACATCCTCTCTATCTCCCTATGCCTCTATATCTCCATCTCTTCAGCGAATATCTCTGTCTCACCATCTCTCTGACACTCTCTCCTGATCTACCCATCCACCCATTGGCCCAACTAGCCTTGAGCTTATCTGTCTTTCTGTCTCTCTCTCTCTCTCTCTCTCTCCTCACTTCGTTCGCTAAATAACTCTCGCCTGGAATCGGCTCACTTTCATGATATCCGTGTATCCGCAAGAACTGCAAAAGTCCCAGTTGGCCACAAAATTGAACTATAGTAGTGGTCAAAGAGCCATCTGGCCCGTCTGGTTACTGTATTTGAGATTGGTGTAAAGAGCGACAGTTGTACTGTTCGTTGTGTTACTTCCAGAGGCCCACCACATAACCTTCCAAGGGGAACATGCTCATATAATCACATGATGTTCTGATCAACATGGTGACCCTGCTAAAATACATTGCAAACCCACCTCTCCACATCAAAAAGATCGAAATAAAATCACCTTGATAGGAGGATATTGGAGGCTAACGACTGACAATGTGGAGCCAAGTGATTTTGTGATGTGATTTCTTTAAAGGAGATCGGGACGCAGCAACGCACTTGCAGAGCTTCCTGGTGCTCAGCTTCATCGATACACGAGACACAGCCAGCAAACGCGGGGTCATGATATTCGATGGCTGGGCAAACAGCAAAATATGTTTTGTTGTGTTCAGTCTGCTGCGTTCGGCCTGCTACTTCATGGGCTGTTTCGTACCTCATTTTGTTGTGCCTCCTTCGGGCATTCTTCGTGCAAACCCATCACCAGGACCAAAGATTCAAACAAGACATGCTTGGCGACTTGTTAACAAGAGGCATCACCGCCCAAAAACAACAATAGTGCAAAAGTTGCGAAACGAAATGTCAGTCATGTCATTGCCTTGCAAAAAAAAGAAAAAAAACGCATTGCCTGGCAATAGCATTTGTCGCTCATCTCCCTCCATAAACTTCTAAATTGAGTTGCCACAAAGAACTGAGGGCCTGCAGGATGCTCGGGCTGCAAATGGGTTCCATCCAACTTGGAAAGACCATGCTTGAGATGTAGCAACAAACCTTGATGGACATCTATGTGTTACCAGTGTCGCAAGTGCCTGAAAAGGAAGATGTAGCGGCCCAACTGCGTATATAGAGAAAAACTCATTCATCCATTCATCCATTGATGTGCGCCTACCAAGCAAACTGCTGGAAGATCTGCAAAGCAGCCAGGATTTGTCTGGTCAGAAACAGGACAAGTCTGCATGTCAAATAACCCGCCGCGGTCTGCCTTACACCCACGAAAAACTTGCAAAGCAGCCCAAACAGAGTAAAATGAAAGCAAATGTTGGTCCAAACAAGGAACCAAGAAAGACTCCTGTGCTTGCTTCAATTGATACAAGTGCCACGTACATGCGACAAAGGTCTTTGTCACCACTGCCATTGCAGAAAGCTTTTGATTTGCCTTGGCAGCGACTATCTTCCCAGCTCATCGAGAGCACCTGGTCTCAGGCATTGGAGTAAAATTGGCTAGAAGACTTTGGTTAGTCAGCTCTCCAGTTTCTGGATGAACTTCCATGTGTGGAGCTTCATGCGGACAATTCGGACACTTCGTATCAGATCTACGAAAAGAATGCCCCTCAACAAGCCGGCTTGATCCTTCAAGTTCAAGCTTTTGGGGTCACTGTTCAGTTCGTATTTCTCGCACAACTTCTTCACCCGTTGATCATGCTGGAGCCAGACGTCCTTCAGTGCCTCATTCTCATCCTTTGCTCCTGAGTGGCCAGCGGTTTTGGTGAGCCCTGTGAACCAAGAATGGTCGTCGCCTCCTTCAGACTTTCCATATTCAATGCCAATGGACTGTTGTACTGCAACCCATCCAGGTGCGTGCACCTCGAGAAGAATATTCCGATCCACTCCATCCAGGTACTTCTCTGAATAATCCGCGTAGCTAGCCCATGGCTGACCCTCTTTGGCAATCGCATCTTCCTGCGACCTGCTGTCAAGCCACAGGTGAGCCTCCTCCATAGTGCAGGCCCTGTAGAAATACTGTTGGGCATTTGGGTCAATCTCTGTGGCCGCTGCTTTATCCTCCACATTGGCCCTGCTCTTCCACTTGAAGACATCAAATTCTTTGTCAAGTTTCTCAATGCGCAATGTGTCATGATATGGTTCTATTTGCTGCTTCTCAGCAAGTTTTTCCAGCTCCTCATGGGCCTGCTTGATCTCTTGCGGCAATTTTTTTGGTTCGCTCCTTACGATCCGCACTGGCCTCCTCCACAGATGCCATGAGTTGACAGAAACAAACAAACAAGGTCAAACTAATTGAGCAAAAAACGCTTCAAGCGTGCAATTCGCCTCAAACAGTGACTCCAGCAGTAAATACGTGCAATTCGCCTACATACAGCAATCCATACGTGCAATTCGCCTCATACAATCTACTGCTCCATTTTGCGCTTAAACAGTTCGAACTGCTAAGTGCTAAATGCTGGCATTGTCTGGCCTCTAGAGCTGCGCCAATCGTAGCGCCTGAACTTGCCTCAGGCTCTCCGGAACTTGCGCACGGTCTTCATGTCTCCGTCAACCGCACTATCGCCTGGACATGGAACGCATCAAGTCCGTGAGACGAAGCAATTCAGGTCCTGCCACGTCGGTACCTAACTTGTTCCCAAACAGCTTGGCTGTGAGAGGTTCTCAATTCTTGCATATGTTGGGCCAAGAATATTTCTGGCCTTTTGTCTCCTTTTGTCTGGCTTCTCTCCACATGGCTCTGGATGCTGGGTCTGAGATGACTCTGGTTAAGTCTGCCGTCACAAGAACTGAAGTGGATGTCCTCTGTCCAGCAGTGACCATGAGCTTGACGACACCAGGCTACAATGTGAGGGAGCTAGAGAGTGGGAAGTGTGTCCACACTGGTGACAATTGTGGCTCCGGATGATCCACCTGGAGATGTTGAGCTACCTGCAGTGGAGTTTGGGGACCTTCATGAAGAAGATGATCGTGAAGAACAGTCTCAAACACGAAAGCGGCGGGGTCGAACTCGACGACGACTCCACGCCCTTCAAGTTCCTGGAAGGAGCACCTCAAGTGAAGAGTGGGGGGAGCTTGAGCTCATTGAGGAGGATGGGGATGCAGAAGTTGTGAATGGAAGGTTCCTCAGGGCATTGATTGGGGAGCTCGAGGACCTCACAGAGGAGACCACCACAAGCGACCGTGAAATCCAGAAGGAACAGCGGTTGATCTTGGAAGGTGGAGCAGAGTCACGGGGCATCTTTCTCCAAACACACCCATACAGCTTGGCTGAGGTGAGGAGAAACCAGCAGGAGTGGATCCCGAGCATGAAAGGGAGTACTCGGCCCTAACAGAGATCACACCTGCGCTTGAAGCGCTGACCTTGTCGGAGGCAGAGGACTTGAAGAAGGAGGCGATTGAAAAGGGGGTCCAAGTCGAGTGGGTGCCTGCCAAGGCGCTGCTTTTGAGGAAGGCGCCAGTTGGGAAGCACAAGTGCCGGGCGGTGGCATGTGGTAGCCACATGACGCAGCAGTCCCAAGAGGACACCCATGCTGGCGGGGCATCAGCTGTGGAAGCTCGGCTATCCTTCAGCACATGTCCCAGGTTGGATGGGAAGCAGTGACCGCCGACATCAAGACCGCCTTCTTGAACGCACCAAAGATTGAAGAGAAGTCGTTGGTGTTGGTTACACCACCCAAGATCTTTCAGGATGTCAACATCCTCAAGAAAGAATGTGAAGTCTGGCAAGTACGACGTGCACTTTACGGACTGACCACCAGCCTGAAGGACTGGACCACCCACCGTGTTGGATGGGATGAGCTGGGAAGAGGACGGCATCCAGCACCAGGTGAAGAGAACTCAGCTGATCTGTGGAAGATTGTGAGGCTTGACCAATCCACCCAGGATGACATCACAAAGGAGGTCAAGCGCATGTTCATCACCTACGTGGACGACATGTTGGCCGTTGGGGATACCAACATTTTGCACTGTTTCATGGCCCAGCTCAAGAAGGTGTGGGAGCTGGGTCAAGAAGGGTGGGTCAAAAATGCCAGTCCGTGGTGAGATTCCGAGTGATGGAGATCGAAAAGAAGAAGGGTGCGTACAGGATTCACCAACAGGCGTATCTGGAGAATCTCTTGGAAAGTTACCCGCTGCCGGAGAAGGTGAAGTACATCTTGGGCCAGGTCAAGCCACCGGAGGAGGAGGAGGAGGAGGGCACTTGAGGATCCGGGCTATGGTGGCGGTGAGAGGCGGAGAGATCCAGCTGGAACATCTCCCAGGGAAGGACATGATGGCAGACCTGTTCACCAAACAGCTTCAAGGCCAGCTTCTTGCTCATGACAAAAGCTTACTGGGTCTTGGAGCATCGAGAGGTGAGGTGATCGAGATCAAGAATCGAACCGGTGCCGAGCCAGGGGGACCTGAGCGGCGGCAGCGAGTCTGATTAGTGGGGCTGGAGCGACGGAGACTGGAGCGACGGAGACCAGCATCGAGTGGTGGATCGCCTTGCTCTTGACGGCGGCGGTGGCGATCACTGGCCTTGGTGTTCAGGGTTGGGTCAGGCAGAGTGAGGAGATGGAAGGTGAAGTTCCTGAGCCCTGACGCCAGGGCTCCACATTCCACGAGTGAAAGTGTCCTAGTTCGAACTCGCACAGCACGGGACCGCACTCCAGGGACCTACGGACGAGTGGCACCACGATCAAGCGACCGGTGCAGGGGTGGTTGATGATCCAGAGGTCTAGGGGATCGAATTGGTCAGCTGGTGGTGGAGAAGATCATGCAGTCATGGAGGTGGAAGTCAACTGTGTGTTAGAACTGAGTGAGACACAGCCTGGTGATCGCGGCTTCGCAACAGGCTGCTTACCCATATGGGCGGAGGAGGACGACCTACCAGAGGCAGGAACTGGGCAAGAGGAATCCGGCAGAGAGAATCTCAGAGTGGGTCGTGACAGCACAAAACAGACTCATGTGACCACGGAAGACGTGGGAATCCAAACCATCGGAACAGCCCTGAAAGTCAATGTCGAGGGAGAGGTGACTGGACAGGGACAAGCGGAACCAGCCGGACGACCACATCTACCTGGACCGGGACATCAAGGAGACCCAGAGGATGAAGCAGCGGAGGTGGGAAAATCCTTGGCGTGCAGCTATGGGATCGCCACCTTCCATTTGGGCCAGACAGAAGGCGAAAGAAGGACCATGGAAGGATCGAGGGGAACCTGGGCGATGAGAGATGGGCTGGCACGTCGTGGGACGAGATCCTGATTGACATCCACCTGGACGAGAAGAAGCTGGGGGAACCTCGACGAGGGAGAATGCTCAACAGCCACCTGACAGACAGGCGACCGGAGCACGTTCGAGTGGTGGAGAGAGGATCGAGCGGTTGAACTTCTTTGCTGAGGTCGGGGCATCACGTTGGGAATATGGGAGTTTGAGGATGAGGAGGTTTGGGACTACCTGAACACTCCGGACTTCCAGAAGGGCTTTGTGACCGCAGCGGCAAAGAAGCTCATCTCCGTGCCGCCGAGGAGAACCTCGGCCCAGGACTCATGGCTGGATCTGGTTGATGATGGAAAGGGAAAGAAGATAGCAGTGCGAGAGCACATGCAGCTCAGTATGACTTCGAAGGGCCGAACTTGTGGGGCGAGGAGGAATGGACACCATGGAGGATGACAGTGGCCTGGTCCACCATCCAGAAGGAAAAGATGATCCCGGCGGACAGGAGAAGCGGGAAGAAGAGCACCTACCTGCCCTATGCCTGGGTCGGCTACATGCTGTTCAAGTCAGCATGAGAGGGCTTGGGCCACCTCGAAAAGAGAGGAAGGCTCCAGGTGCTGGTCTCCGAAGTTGATGACACCCATCAAGGCGAGTGTTGGAGAACAAATCGAGAAATGTACCAAGAAACCAAGAGGGTTGCATAAGCCCTTTTTGACCAAGAGGCGGCATGAAGGGCCGCTTGTTTCCGTGCGGTCAAGAAGATGACAATGATTGATGGCAAGGAGGAACAAGTGTTTCACCGAGTCATCTTCAACCAGGCGCTGTGAAATGGGCATTCAAGGTGTAAAGTACTTCAACCAGGACGACAAGACTTGGCCAGCCATGGGTTGACCATTCCAAGCACTTCATGGTTCGATCAGGAGCTGGATAGCTACCTTTTAGGTCACCCAAATCTGGTCAGCACCCTGAAGCACGGCAAGAAAGAAACAAGGAAGCAGGGCTATGGCTACGCAGAGAAGAAGTCCGACAAGAAAAGGAAAGATGAGCTCACCAGCAATGATGATGGCGCAATGGATATCACAGAGGTCAACCCGGACGAGAAGTGATACAAGTGATATCCACTGCGATACAAGTGTCACTTGAAGAAACAAGTTCACACGTGAAGATACGGGAGAAGAAGTCCGAACATGAATGAGATGGAAGTTTCGCTCCTGTATCCGCTCACAGTCGTTCCGCTGCAGTGCATCAGCGGATAGCCGAGCAATGGTCTGGATGCCAAAGGAAGATGCGGCAAGCACAACAAGCCTTGTGCGCAGATTTGACACAATGTCAGAAATAGAACTGAAAATAGATGAAAAGAACATGAAAAAATCTGTTGATTCCTTCTGTGTGTTTATGGACAACAATGACTGCAACAACAGTTTGATGATATGTCCACTGTGTTGACAATAGATCAACAAAGTGAGGGAAGGTGTGAAGAACAATGCTGTCTGAGTCAGACAAAACTCTGCGTATCATGGACTGCAGGCCTTGAGCTTCGAATGACACAGAACATACAGTTGTGTGCACAGCCGCCTTCTAATTTAACAAGAAAGAGAGAGAGAGAGAGAGCACGTTGAAGAAACAGGTTGCGCACCTCCATTGCCTGCGCCAGCATCGGCTCGCCGTTCACAGGCAGCACAAGCAACACACAAAACGCCAAGTAGAAGCTCGACGCCAAATGATCAACAGTAACTGGGCTTGCCGCGCTCAGAATCAACCGCAAGAAGAGAAGAGATGAAATTATACCGGCATAGACC